GTTCCAGAAGCACTCTCTCCTGATGTTTTGCCTGCATCTGTGGCAGGCACCCTCAGAGGTTGTGAGGTCTGTTGGAAACTAGGAAAAGGGGGTTTATCTATTTGTGGGATGTCCAGGGTGGGAGAAAGAACTCTTGTCTGTATTGTCGAAGGCTTTCATGGCTGGAATCACTGGGTTGTTGTAGGTTTTTCGGGCTATATGGCCATGTTCTAGAAGCATTCTCTCCTGACGTTTCGCCTGCATCTATGGCAAGCATCCTCAGAGGTTGTGAGGTCTGAACTCTTGTCTGTTCAAGGTAGGTGTGACCTCACAACCTCTGAGGATGCCTGCCATAGATGAAGGTGAAACATCAGGAGAGAATGTTTCTGGAACATGGCCATACAACCCAGAAAACACAGCAACCCTGGCCATTTTTACTTTGCTTAGCACCAAAGCACCCAAACCTGGAATCGTATTGCTCATGAACCCTATTATCTCTTGTTGTTGTTATCCCCTGATATACTAGTATAGGATTTATAGGGCCAGTCCTATTCTGCTGTGGAAAAAAAACACCCAAACATTGACATAAGGAGTGTTATAGACGTTTAGATACATTTGGCCCCTATTGTGACCTTTCCCCACCAAAAATGCCCCCATTATGTTTCTTCCATACCATAAAAGGGACTTTTATGGATACCAGATGAGGATGTTATTGATGGAAAGGCCAACCCAACCCCAGCTCTGAGATTTATAGTCTTCCCCATACACAATGGTCTTGGGGCCAAAACGAAAAACAACCCCCTATGTGATATATACTACCTCTGAAGTATAGCATCCTTTACTTCCTTACCATAACTTCCAGTCCTATCAATATAAAATACATCCCATAAATTTGAACATGATGCCACAAGAACGTGAATGTATATTATTGTTGTTTTAAACTGCTTATTTTATGTATATGGATAGTTGTTTACATGATTTTAATATGTTGTAACCCGCTTTGGGTCCTGTGTGGGAGAAAAGCGGGATATAAATAAAGAAATTATTATTATTATTATTATTATTATTATTATTATTATTATTCCGATGAATTGCTCAGTTAAATCACTGAGCTGCTGAACTTGCTGACCAAGTTTGCAAAATCTGTGTTTTTTTAAATCTGTTTGTTTGTTCTGTTAGAAATGTAATACAATGGTATAGTTGCTGATGACACGATAATTATAAACTTGCTGACCAAAATGTCAGCAGTTCAAATCCAGGGAGCAGGGTGAGCTCCTACTGTTAGGCCCAGCTTCTGCCAACCTAGCAGTTCAAAAACATGCAAATGTGAGTAGATAAATAGGTACCGCTTCTGCGGGAAGGTAATGGCGCTCCATACAATCATGCTGGCCACATGACCTTGGAGATGTCTATGGACAATGCCAGCTCTTCGGATTAGAAATGGAGATGAGCATCATCCCCCAGAGTCGGACATGACTAGACATAATGTCAGGGGAAACCTTTACCTTATTATTATTATTATTATTATTATTATTATTATTATTATTATTGACACCAATGGGAATACCACTCTGTCTCGCATCACCATTTGTAGCAACCGAACTTCCTTGAGAAATGTCAGCCCTAAACAATACCAAGAACTACAAAATCAACGACAATGTCCAAGGGGAAGTTGGTCGAGAAGAAACCCCACCAAAATCCTATCCTTCGCCTATGAAGCTTGGTCTCTATGGCAGGCAGAAACACATATGAGGCAGGATGCCTCTAAGACAGGCATGGGTAAACTTGGGCCCTCTGGGTGTTTTGGACTTCAACTCCCACCATTCCTAACAGCCTCAGGCCCCTTCCTTGTAAGCAGCTGAGAGGGGAAAGGAAAAGGCCTGAGGCTGTTAGGAATGGTGGGAATTGAAGTCCAAAACACCTGTGGGGGGGCAAGTTTGCCCATGCCTGCTCTAAGAACTCTAGAAAGGCCTCTGCCCCATCGCTCCCCCATAGACTCCCACTGACCCCACAAATTTCCTTCTTTCCTCTCAAGGAGACCCTAAAACTTCACATTACCCTACACTGAATGTAGGGTATGTGCGGGAAGAGATCCCCCAAGTCTAGTTCCTCAGAGGCACCCTAAGAACATGCCCTTTTGCTCTTTTCCCATTCCAGCCTCACTCCTCATAGAGACATCGAAAAAGAGAAGCATCCCAGCAAAAGCCTGATAGCATTGCTCTCCCTCCCTCCACTGTAAACTCAAACTTGCCCCCACAGTTTCCCCACAAACAATCCCCCTAGTCCACTTCTCCTCTGGGAAAAGGATGCCAAACTTCCACTGTGCCCTACAATTGAAGGAGTGACAATTGTGGGGCAGAGAACCAACCTCTGGTTCCTCAAAGGAGCACCAAACCCCCTCCATAAAATGCCCTTCACCCTCCCAAGAAACACTTCTCTCCCTTCTTCCCATAAAGACAGTCCAAAAGGACCCCCAGCAAATGCTTCCAGGACCTTTAAGCCTTCTCCCTCCCCATCACCTTGGCCCCACAGGCCTCCCTTTCCTACAGACCCCTTTTAGTCAGTCACCTTCTGGCCTGGAAAAAAGGTGCTTCAAAATCCCCCAGGAGGACATTGAGAGAGGGGTTTGGCACCCCTCTGTTTACAGAGGGGTGCCAAACCAGCCCTAAAGACCCTTCTATAAGATACCCTCCTTTCTGTCAAACCTTTCCTGCACCCTTATACAGGCACCCCAAAAGGAAAGACACATCTCAAGCAGATGCAGGGCAAAGTAGGGCCCACCTAGACATCCCGCTTCTGCCCCTCTTCCTTATAGCAGGTCATGAAAGGGAAGGATGCGGTGGGAAGGGAGGGAGGGGACGCCAAAACCCTTCCCTACAATGCCCTTCACACTTAACCTTCCAGCCCCTTTTTTCATAAGAGGTCACCCCAAAAACAAGCAGCCTCCCAGCAAACGCTTCTCACAGACACTCCAAAAGCAAGCGCCCTCAAACCCCATCCCTCCCCACCTATGACAGAGGCACCCTAAAAGCAAGCCCTTAGCAAAGCTTTCCTTCTGCCTTTCTTTAAACAGGGACGCCCCAAAAGAAAGCTTTCCTTCTGCCTTTCTTTACACAGGGACACCCCAAAAGAAAGCTTTCCCTCTGCCTTTCTTTGCACAAGGACACCCCAAAAAGAAAGCCCCTTGCAAAGCTTTCTTTCTGCCTTTCTTTGTACAGACACCCCAAAAGAAAGCTTTCCTTCTGCCTTTCTTTGCACAGACACCCCAAAAGAAAGCTTTCCTTCTGCCTTTCTTTACACAGGGACACCCCAAAAGAAAGCTTTCCCTCTGCCTTTCTTTGCACAAGGACACCCCAAAAAGAAAGCCCCTTGCAAAGCTTTCTTTCTGCCTTTCTTTGTACAGACACCCCAAAAGAAAGCTTTCCTTCTGCCTTTCTTTGCACAGACACCCCAAAAGAAAGCTTTCCTTCTGCCTTTCTTTGCACAGACACCCCAAAAGAAAGCTTTCCTTCTGCCTTTCTTTGCACAGGGACACCCCAAAAGAAAGCCCCTTGCAAAGCTTTCCATCTGCCTTTCTTTTCACAGAGGCACCCCAAAAGAAAGTACCCCCAGCAAGCCCTTTCCTCCAATCTCCCTCCAGATACCCTCTAACCCATCTCTCCCCATTTCTTCCATGGGTCTCTCTAAAAGGAGGCCTCCAGCAAAGCCTCCTTTTCATAGAGACACCCCAAACGAAAGCACCCCAGGAAGCCTTTTCCTCCAATCTCCCTCTAGATCACCTGTAACCTATCCCTCCAGGGGTCCCCCAAAAGGAGGCTTCCCGCAAAGGAGGCTTCCCACAAAGACACCCCACAAAGAAAGCACCCACCTGCAAGCCCTTTCCTCTCCACTTTCCCCAGACATTCCCAAACCCATCCCTTCCCACTACTTACGGGGGCGCCCCAAAGCAAAGCCCCTAGCAAGGCATTCCTTCTGCCTTTCTTTGCACAAAGGCACCCCAAAAGAAAGCACCCCCAGTAAGCCTTTCCTCCAATCTCCCTCCAGACACCTTCTAACCTATCCCTCTTGGAGTCCCAAAGAAGTAGGCCTCCAGCAAAGCCTCCTTTTTGCAGAGATACCCCAAAAGAAAACACCTCTAGCAAGCCCTTTCCTCCAATCTCCCCCCCCCCAGATACGCTCCCTCCAAGGGTCCCCCAAAAGTAGGCCTCCAGAAAAGCCTCCTTTTTGTAGAGACACCCCAAAAGAAAGCACCCCCCCCCCCGCAAGCCCTTTCCTCCAATTTCCCCCAGATACCCTCTAATCCGTCCCTCCCCACTTCTTCCAGGGGTCCTCCCAAAAGGAGGCCTCCAGCAAAGCCTCCTTTTGCAGAGATACCCCAAAAGAAAGCACCCCCAACAAGCCTTTTCCTCCAATACCCTCTCCCCAGACATTCCCATACCCACCCGTTCCCAATTCTTAGAGGCACCCCAAAGGAAAGCCCATGGCAAAGCTTTCCTTCTGCCTTTATTTGCACAGAGGTACCCCAAAAGAAAGCACCCCAGCAAGCCCTTTCCTCTAGTCTCCACCCAGATATCCTCCCTCCAGGGGTCCCCCAAAAGGAGGCCTTCAGCAAACCTCATTTTCGCAGAGACACCCCAAAAGTAAGCACCTCCAGCAAGCCCTTTCCTCCAATCTCCCTCCAGACACCCTCTAACCTCTCCCTGTAGGGGTCCCCGAAAAGGAGGCCTCCAGCAAAGCCTCTTTTTTGTAGAGACACCCCAAAAGGGAGCACCCCCAGCAAGCCCTTTCCTCCAATCTCCTTCCAGACACCCTCTAACCTCTCCCTCCAGGGGTCCCCCAAAAGGAGGCCTCCAGCACAGCCTCCTTTTCATAGAGACACCCCAAAAGAAAGCACCCCCAGCAAGCCCTGCCTGCCCAGTCCTCCCAGAGGCAGCAATCATTCCACAACCTTGCTCCCCTTCTGGCAGAGGCACCACAAAAGACGGGACCCCCCCCCCCTCCAAATGCTATCCCAGGCTCACCTTGGCCCTCTGCAGCCGGCTCATCCGCAGGTCATGGATGAAAGGGTTGGGCTCCTTGGCGGGGTCCTGCTCCTCCTCCTTGGGGGGCGCCCGGCTCGACCCCCCTCCGGCCTCTCCGCCCTCGCCTCCCTCGCCTCCTCCGCCGCCTCCTCTTCCTCCTCCGCCTCCCTCCATGGCCGGAGCCCCCTTCCAGGCTGCCCTGCGTCTTCCAGCCCGGGGCTTGGGGGGCAGCAGGGGAGGGCCCGGGAGAGCGGCACCGAGCGCGGAGGAGAGGGCCAGGCACGGGATCCTGGCCGGCGGGGGGAGGCCCTGGCACCGGAGCTGGGCAGCAGGGAGCTGGGATGCTCCAGAGGGAGGGAGGGGAGGGAGGGGAGGGCAGGGAGGAAAGAGGGGGCGGGACTAAGGCCTGGGCGTCGTCACGGCGACGACATCCAAGGGAGGGGGGAGAGAGGAGGAGGAGGAGGGATGGACTTTCGCTTTGGATGGAAGAGAAGGAGCCAAGCATCCTCTCTCTGCGCCAATAGCAGGCAGGCACTCTCCGGCTTCTCTGCATCTCCAGGGGTCGAGGGCATTCAAGCAGGGTTTCTCAGCCTTCCTAATGCCTTGACCCCTTAATACAGTCCCTCATGTTGTGGTGACCCCCCCAAACATCACATTATTTTCGTTGCTATTTCATAACGAGAGGAATGAGAGACCAGATTGCCAATATCCGGATGCTGGATAATGGAGAAAGGCAGGGAGTTTCAGAAAAACATCTACTTCTGCTTCATTGACTATTCTAAAGCCTTTGACTGTGTGGATCATAATAAATTGTGGCAAGTTCTTGGTGGGATGGGCATCCCAAGCCACCTTGTCTCTCTCCTGAGGAATCTGTACAAAGACCAAGTAGCAACAGTCAGAACTGACCACGGAACAACAGACTGGTTCAAGATTGGGAAAGGCGTACGGCAAGGCTGCATCCTCTCACCCAACCTTTTTAACTTGTATGCAGAACACATCTTGCGATGTGCGGGGCTGGATGAATGCAAAGCTGGGGTGAAAATTGCTGGAAGAAACATTAACAACCTCAGATATGCAGATGACACCACTCTGATGGCCGAAAGCGAGGAGGAGCTGAGGAGCCTTCTAATCAAGGTGAAAGAGAAAGCGCAAAAGCCGGGTTGCAGCTAAACGTCAAAAAAACCAAGATTATGGCAACAAGAATGATTGACAACTGGAAAATAGAGGGAGAAACCGTGGAGGCCATGACAGACTTTGTATTTCTAGGCGCAAAGATTACTGCAGATGCAGACTGTAGCCAGGAAATCAGAAGACGCTTACTTCTTGGGAGGAGAGCAATGTCCAGTCTCGATAAATAGTGAAGAGTAGAGACATCAGACTGGCAACAAAGATCCGCCTAGTCAAAGCCATGGTATTCCCTGTAGTAACCTACGGATGTGAGAGCTGGACCTTAGGGAAGGCTTAGCGAAGGAAGATCGATGCTTTTGAGCTGTGGTGTTGGAGGAAAGTGCTGAGAGTGCCTTGGACTGCGAGAAGATCCAACCAGTCCATCCTCCAGGAAAGAAAGCCCGACTGCTCATGGAGGGAAGGATACTAGAGACAAAGTTGAAGTACTTTGGCCACATCATGAGGAGACAGCAAAGCCTAGAGAAGACAATGATGCTGGGGAAAGTGGAAGGCAAAAGGAAGAGGGACCGACCAAGGGCAAGATGGATGGATGGTATCCTTGAAGTGACTGAATTGACCTTGAAGGAGCTGCGGGTGGTGATGGCTGACAGGGAGCTCTGGCGTGGGCTGGTCCATGAGGTCACGAAGAGTCGGAGACGACTGAATGAATGAACAACAATTTCATAACTGTGATTTTGGCTACTGTTATGAATCGTAATGTATCTGCAGGGTGTATGTTCATTCACCTGACCAAATTTGGCACAAATAGACCCAGGTTTGAATTTTGTCATTTGGGAATTGTAGTTGCTGGGATTTATAGTTCACCTACAATTCAAAGAGCATTCCACCAACGATGGAATTGAACCAGTCTTAGCACACAGAACTCCCATGGCCAACAGAAAATACTGGAAGGATTTAATAGGCATTGAGTTTTGGAGTTGTAGTTCACCTACATCCAGAGAGCCCTGTGGACTCAAGCAATGATAGATCTGGACCAAACTTGGCACAGATACTCAATATTCCCAAATGTGAACACTGGTGAACTTTGGGGAAAATAGACCTTGACATTTGGGAGTTGTAGTTGCTGGGATTAATAGTTTACTTACAACGAGAGAGCATTCTGAACTCCACCAATGATGGAATTGAACCAATCCTAGCATGCAGAACTGCCATGACCAAGAGAAAAGGGTTTTGTGGGCACTGACCTTGAATTTGGGAGTTGTAATTCACCTACATCCAGAGAGCCCTGTGGACTCAAATAATGATAGGATGGCCATTGCAGTTCACCTGGGGCCAAAATACCCTCCTGTGCATCTACAGCACTACTGTAGAAGGGATGCAGTTTGGCACTACTAGAACTGCTATGGCTCCATCCTATGGGATATTCAGTGTTTGGAGAGGCAACTCCCCCAAAACTGCAACTCCCAGGATTCCAGAACCATGGCAGGTCAAGCAATGTCAAACTGCTTTTATTCTACAGAGTAGATGCAGCCTTTATTCAACAGTGGAACTCCAGTGGAAGCTCCTTCTTTGGAGGCTCTTAAACAGCTGGATGGTCATCTGTCAGGGCTGCTTTGATTGTGCTTAACCTGCATGGCAGAAAGGGGTTGGACTGGATGACCCACACGATCTCTTCCAACTCCATGATTCTTTATATTCCTTTATGACCATTCCCCTCAGTTTCATGAGGCTTTCTTAGACAAGGAATGCTGAGAAGCGCTTTTGTCTCTTCCTTTCTCAAATAAAGCCTGGGATTCATTGGCAGTTTCCCATCCAAGCACTCATCAGAGCTGTACCTGCTTAGCTTCCCTAGAGGAGAGAGGGCGGATTATAAATAAAGTATTATTATATTATTATCTTTTATTGCTCTTTGTCTGGCATTGTCTGTCCTCCCACGTAGAGGCAAGGCCTAAGCTGATTCCAATCCAGACACACATGATCTAGATTGAAGTTAATGCAGTTTGGCACCATTTAATGCACTTTGAACGGCCATGACTCAATGCTATGGCATTATAGGGATCGTAGTTTAACAAGGTCTTCAGCCTTCTCTGCCCAAGATTCCATTGCATTGAGCCATGGCAGTTAAAATGATGTCAAACTGCATTAATTATATGGTGTAATACACTGTAGAATGAATGCAGTTTGGCACCTTTTTAACTGCCATGGCTCATGACTATGGATTCTTGGGAGCTGTAGTTCTACAGGGTCTGTAGTCTTCTCTATCAAATAGTGCTGGTGCCTCACCAAACTACAACTCCTTTCGGTTGCTGTGAGTTTTCCAGGCTGTCTGGTCATGTTCCAGAAGCATTCTCTCCTGATGTTTCACCCACATCTATGGCAGGCATCCTCAGAGGTTGAGAGGTTGTTCCCTCAACTTCTGAGAATACCTGCCATACATGTAGGCGAAATGTCAGGAGAGAATGCTCCTGGAATTTGACCATAGAGCCTGGAAAACTCACAGCAATCCTGTGATTCCAGCCATGAAAGCCTTCAACAACACATACAACTCCCTTGATTCCCTAGCGTTGAATATACGTGTGTGCGCACACGTGCGCACACCTGCAAGTCACCTTATGGCAAATGCATGGATTCCAGAAAGTTTTCTTAGGCAAAGGATACTCAGAGGTGGTTTGGCTAGTTTCTGCCCCTGAAACATAATAAAATGGAATTCATTGACTCAAGGCAGCTAACAATAAATATAAAACAAGGCAAGTATGCAAATACAAAACAATTCAAATATGAAACAGTGTAAATGCATTACAACATAAATGTAAACATTAAAAAACATTCAAAGCATTTGTATCATTGAAACCATTAGACTTTAAAATATGAAAATGCATTCCCAGCAGGAAATTCCAATTGCACCATCCTTAAAAGCCCGTCTTTTCTTCGTCCATAAATGTCTGATGGCTGAGGAATGTTTACGCTGTAGAATAAATACAGTTTGACATTGCTTTAACTGCTATGGCTCAGTGCTATTAAATCATGGACACTGTAGTTTGGTGAGACAACCGGACTCTTTGGCATAGAAGGCCAAAGACCCTATAAAACAGGTATGGGCAAACCCAGGCCACTTGGGCTCTTTTCTCATGCCCTTCTTTCTCTTGCCATCCTTTTCTTCCTTCTCTCTTTCCTCCTTCCCTCCTTCCATTCCACCCTTTTCTTCCTTCCTTCCCACTTTTCCTTCCTCTCCCCTCCCCTTCTTCCTTCCTTCCTTTCCTTCCTTCCTTTTCCTCCTCTTCCCTCTTCCTCTTTCTCATTCCATCTTTCCCTTTCACCTTCCTTCCTTCCTCTTCCTTCCTTCCTTCCTCTTTTTGTCTTTCCTTCCTTCCTCTTCTTTTCCTTTCCTTCCTTTCCTTCCTCCTTCTTCCTTCCTTCCTTCCCCCTTCCTTCCTTCCCTTTCCTTCCTTCCCTTTCCTCCCTCCCTCTCCCTTTCTCCTTCCTCTCCTTCCCACCCTCCCTCCTCCCTCTTCCTCCTTCTCTTTTTCCTTCCTCTTTCTCTCTTCCTTCCTTCCTTCTCCCCAACCCTTTCATCCTTCCTTCCTTTGCCTTCCTTCCTTCCCTATTTCCTCCCTCCTTCTCTCCTTCTTTCTCCTTCCATCTTTCCTTCCCTTCCCTCCTTCCCTCCTCCTTCCTTCCTTCCTTCCTTCCCTTTTGCCTTCCTTCCTTCTTCTTTCCTTTATTCTTTCCTTTCTTCCTTCCATCATCTCTTCCTCCTTCCTTCCCTTTTCCTCTCCTCCATTCCTTCCTTTCCTTCCAACCCTATCATCCTTCCTTCCCTTTCCTTCCTTCCTTCCATTCCTCCTTCCCTCTCCCTCTTTCTCCTTCCATCTTCCCCTTTCCCTCCCTCCTCCTCCCCCTCCCTCTCTCCCTCCTCCCTCCCTCCCTTCCTTCTCTTTTTTTCCTTCTTTCTCTCTTTCCTTTCTTTCCCTTCCTTCCTTCCATCCTTCCTCTTCCCTTTCATCCTTCCTTCCTTTTTCCTTCCTCCTTCCATTCCTTCCTTCCTTCCAACCTTCCTTCCTTCCTTCCTTTCCTTCCTTCCTTCCTTTCTCCCCTCCTCTCTCCCTCTTTCTCCTTCCATCTTCCCTTCCCCTCCCTCCTTCCTTTCTTTCCTTCCTTCTTCCTTCCTTCCTTCCTTCCTTCCTTCCTTCCTCCTTTCTTCCTTCCTTTGTCTTTCCTTCCTTCCCTCTTTTCCTCCCTCCTT